TAATGATATACTTCTAATGCACATTTTGTAAAAATTGAATGACGTATGTATAATGGTTGACAAAATTCAAGTATTTATACAGGGTGTCCCGGCTGAACCTGAGTTAGAAGTTTCTAAAGAACTACAATATCTAGATACGAGATTTTGTGCATATCATTGTTTCACAATGAGATCTATCGATTAAAACTATTTTCAATACGGCGACACTTTCGAAAGTACCGGAAGTCGACAGCAACTTTCTTATTTTAAATGGGTGACCCCATTTTTTATTACATAATTAAACTCTCTGTAAAATTTTATGAATTTTGATATTAAACACTATACCTAACATTAACCGATTTGGAGAAAAAAAATATTTATAATTGTTAGAGGAAAAAAAACTGTATATAGCCTAAACGTCAAATTTAGTGATTGCCACAGCTACTGTACCATAAAGAGAAGACATGTGGCTATCTATACCTTTTTTCGTTTTCCTGTTATTACCGATTCTGAACCGTCCTAAAACTCTGCAGCGCATGCGCAAATGAAATAATGTCTTCATATTTCCTTCTGCGCATACGCATCACAGTTCTAGGACGGTTCAGAATCGGTAATAACAGGAAAACGAAAAAAGGTTATGTCAAAAATTAAATTGTCCGAATGTCATATAATAATGGCCGCAGCTGTCATGGAATTGAGCGATTAAAAAATTATCATAAATCATTTTTTTTCAAATGGAAATCCACATTTTTTATTTCACTCGTGAAAAGGCTTTCGTTTCTTTCGTTTTTAAAATTTCTTACTTTTTGACTATACATGTTTCTGTACCTAAAATAAATCATTTCTAAGTTATTTAAGATTTAGCTTTAAAGCGTATATTTTTCTTGATTTTAACCAGTAGCCTATGACACTATATATTATCGTGTAGCCTATGACACAGTAGCCTATAGAGCCTATGACACTGTATATTATCGAGCATCATTTCCAAGCTAACTTTGCGCTATTCTTTTTTCGATCGTACGCTATATTATTAAAATGTCAACTCTTAGATATCACTAAAGAACGAAAATACTATAAATAATATATTTATATAAATACACTTTTTAAACTTTTAAGGCAGCAGATAGGAAATTCAAATAATTCATTTTCTGACAGATGGAAATAAATTGTCTAACTGTTTGACACTTAATGTCAAAGGAAGCTAGATAAAATCAAGAAAAATATACGTTTTCAAACTAAATCTTAAATAACTTAAAAACGATTTATTTTAGATATAGAAATGTGTCTAGTTGAAACGTAACGAATTGGAAAACATTTTCACTAGTGAAATAAAAAAAGTGGGTTTCCATTTGAAAAAAAAATATTTATAATAATTTTTTAATCGCTCAATCATGACAGCTACCGCCATTATTATATGACATTTCAACAATTTAATTTTTGAAACAGATAGCCACATGTCTTTTCTTTGTCACAGGGGCTGTGATAATCACTAAATTTGACTTTTAGGCTGTACAAATTTTTTTGACAAGTAGTTTTTTTCGTCCAAAAATGTTAAATATTTTTTTCTTAAAAATGCTTCCAGGGAAATACCGCGACAAAATATCGCGATTTTGTAAGTCCTCCAAGATCCGAAGATTCGCTGTCTCAGGCCCGTGGCCCCCGTTATACTAAAGACTTCACTGCTCATCATCAGTAATAAAGCTAGAATACAAGTTATGCTGTGCATTGGTTGTAATTTAAAATGTTTATTCAGTAAAAATTAATAATGAAACCATTGAAAAATAACTTAAAAGCTAAAATAAATAAATTCAGTCTAAAAATATAAAAAAAAATAATTATTATTCGATATTTTAAACAAAGAAAATTACCCCTTGATTTAATTTCTTAAATAGAAAATGCCATTGACAATTACTGGGACCTGATAATTGATAATTAAGTAAATATCTGCTTCCATTTATATTGTTTATAGTTGGCGTATACGTATGGTTTGCATACTCTACTATAAGAGGGGGCCCGGGGAGGACCGCCCCCCCACCCTTAGTCCGCCACTGGTCCTTGTCTGAAGAAACGATGGATCCATTAGCACTGTTGTTTTTAGAAAACCCACATACGGGACAATATTTAAATTCTCAGTCGAACAATTCTGAAGAAACAAAAAGAGGTATAGTTAAAACATTATGTCATAAAGCCACCACTATATGCAGTGACCAAGAACTCTGAATTCTGAACTAAGTAATATTAAAACTGATTTGTTTCAGAATGATTACTCTGCAAAATCCATAATTAATATTATATCCAATTGAAAGCCTGACTTATTGGTGCGTCAGCCTGAGGATGATGCTCTCTCTTGACGATTTCATATGTAAAAGGAACATCGGAGAAGATAAGGCAAATAACCAAGCAGTATAAAATTAAAACTGTTTTTCAGTCTGGGACTACTCTAAGAAGTGCACTAACAAAAACAAAATCGGAATTATCAGTGCAAGAATAAGAGTGCATCTACCAGGTATATTGGAAAGACAAAACGTCCTCTACATGTACGACTTGACGAACATAAAAAGCATATGCAAAAAAGTGAAACAATGAAGTCGAAAATCCGGGTTGTCCACAAAGAACCCCATTGGAAAAAGCGCAAATTTAAAGAGGCTGTATTTATTTCTAATAATAATACCGTGCTGGCAACTGTTACTTTTGGGTCGGCATTTACATGTGTGTGGAAGTAAATCGCATAGGAATCTTATTAAGTCGGAGTGAGAGAAATGCGACCGACAGACGCGACGCGCGACGCTGTGCTGTTGCGGCGTTGCCGATACGCCTTTCCCTATCAAGTAAAATCACGATCGCAAACCGCTTATTTTTAAAATACGTTTTTTTCAAGAGATAACTAGATAAAATCATTAGACATGTTTCTGAGCATCTGAAATGGAATTATAAGGATATCGTTAAGGTGTCATTTTTTTATAACGAGAAAACGTCAGTAATGGCGATAATTTAAAAACTCAACTTTTTAACACATAACAGGCCATAACTCAAGGACCACTTTAGATATTGAAACTTTTTTTATTTTCAAGATCGGATATTTTACAATATGTTTACATAAGAAAAATTCGATAAGGATGTTCTTTCCATTCAAAAATTGTAAACAATCCATCCATTTACTTTTAGAGCATAGCAATTTTCAGCAATCGTGTAATTTTTTAACACCCACTCAATTCCACTTATTTTTACCAAAAATGCAAGTGTTTCTAGCTTGCACTTAAAAAATTTCAAGCTATAGGGAAAATTACAACGACTTGTTAATAAATAAACCAATTAAGTATCACGAGACGTAATTAAATCATGAAGCTGAACGCATGACGTACAACTTTTCCTAGAACTTTAAGTACTGACTGATTGATTGGGTCGACCTGTCAACTGCGACAAATCTGCTATATCCCCTTCCACGTCTCTTAGCGCAGTTTCATACGTTTGGCAACGTGTTTACTGTCCTCTCTTTGTTCAAAACATTATAAACGCATTGTACTCTTCTTACATACCGAAATCTCGACCCAAGACTAACCTTTGCCAGCCCTTAGTATAATCTTTAGCAATCCAAGTATAAAAAGTTCAACACAATGGCGGCCACTCATAATACTACGCTTCAATTCAGGTATTCTTAGTGGATAACTTCACGCTTGACTGCACCGAACTGATTCATGGGTGAATGCTCGTCTCTAGTATATAAGCTCAGTAGTTTTAGAATTTAGATTATTTAATAATGGTCAGGGATACTTCTGACCGAAACGTTGTGTAAACAAAATAAATAAAGACAATGGAAATTCGAAATTCTTTTAGTTTTAATATAAAAATATTTTAGATCGGAAGACCTTCAGGAACATTCTCAAGTTTGTATTTTATGTTATTAAAAATTTAAATTAATAAATAACGCCTATCTTAATTAATATCATAGATCCATTACGATTACGATATTTAATTAAGGTTTTTGTATTTATTTGATTATTTTATATTGATACTAAATATAAACGTTTATAAGCTGTATTGTTAAAAAAGCATTAAAGAGATTAGTGAAATGTCATTTTAATTAGAATTTTGGTAACAATAAATTTTTTATGTAAATCCGCAAAATTCTGTTAATGAAATTATTTTTTGTTAAAAATAATTTAGCTTTGTTTATTTGATATAATGGCTACTTTCTTATATTTTTTATTAATGAATTAGCAAGCAATATAATCAGGTAATAATGGGCTTCCTTCTAAGAAGGAAAATAATTCTAAAAATTATTAATAAGTTCTAATAAAAGAAATTAGGATGTCAGTCTTTAATACATGATACGGTTAATTAGCAAATATTAGACTTAAGTAAGTTGCTAATACATAAATAATACTACTATTTATTTTAAGATTTAAAAACCAAAACAGATTATAACAAGTAAATTAATTTCTAAATGTACTTTCAATAAATAAACAAAATATTTTAAAACTCTAAGATTATTTTGAGTCAGTTAATGTTGTCTATGTGAAAATTTATAAACAAATATACAGTTCATACCAAATAAACTTTTAGTCACGTGATTAAGCTTCACCGGCACAGCGTTAATTTAATATTGATGACAGCTGATAATTCTAATATCAATAATATGCCACAGAAATTGTGATGAATTAAACAGTAATATCGTGGTAAGATCATTTAATTCTATGTGTAAAATATTTTTAATTTAATGTGTAATATATTAATTCACATGTAAAATTGCGCAGTTTATAGTTTTACCACAAAAAATAGTTTTATTTATATAACAAATCAAGTTAAAAAACAAAGACTTAACTGGCGCAGTCTGTAGGATTCGAACAGATGATTAGTACTATACAAAGGTTGGGCAATGGTGATCAATAGAAATGAAAAATTGATAGAACAGATTTGATCCAACAGCAGTTGAAGCAAAGTAATCATCTAATTAAAACAACTCGGGCTTTCCATGCCGGTACTAACTAAATGTGGGCCCATAAGGGCATCTGTGTACTTACTTCATCTGTTGATGTTGTAGATATTTCACTTAATCCAGCAACTTGAATGTTTCTTCCCCGGGAATCTTCTCGTAATTCCAAATAACCCAACGATGGGTTTAATAAATCCCTAATGTTTTCGTTGTATAATTCCAAGTATGACATTGTTACCTGAAGAATAGAAAAAATATATATAAACTATTTATATTTCTAAAATAATAAGTTTAAGTTAATTTAGTACATTAATTTAATAAAAAGTCTAAAATACATATATTTTCTTGTCTATTTATTAACTGAGATAATAATTAATTGATATTTTAATTACCATAAATATACGTATTATTTTACTAAAATATTGTTCTTACATATAAACTATACGATTTATTAACGTTACTTTTTAATTTAACCATGTTCATTGTTCATATTTTAATAATTCAATTCCGTTATTGTAATTTTCCAATTGGATATTTTTCTTTATGAACGAGTATAATAATGTTGTCAATAGCATTATTGTACTAAATTTAATGATATGATATTAAGAAAAAAATTGATTAATAGAATAATAGTATATGATTAAGGTATTCCTGACAGATTCATTTTAATATGTATAGAAAGTAATATTAAAATTAGTAGAAATTTTACACATTTTGTTAGATTCTAAAACAAATACTATGTAAGTATATTTTATTTATAATTTTGTTTTAATATGTAATTAGTAGCTACATATTAAAATATCGTCTGCTTATATTTCATGAAACTAATGATATAACGAATTTATTCCAATCAATTAAAAAATATGTTCATAGAAATATGTAGATATTGACTTCGTAAAAATACTTTGTAATAGTTTCGTCTCTCTCAATTTATTAATTTTAGAAATTGATTTAACATAAATGTTAAAAATGGTGGTACCGAGTAACATTGTACATAACATAACTAAATAATTTTTTATATTTTTAATTGTTTGTTTTGGTAGCAAAATATTCAGATGTTTTCAAAAAATAATAAATATTTTTCGTGTAATAAACAAAGAAACGTGCATCATAAATTTGTATGTTATGAAAAATTATGAATAATATATTGATTGCTTAATTGGAATCGGTGCCGGTGGTGTGGTTTTTGGTTGGTCATAGCATGTATTTGCGGCCGCAGAATGGGCTGTACAAGAGAATCACTATTAAAAAACAACATGTATAATCGGGGACGGGAGATGTGTACGGATATCAGATCCTTAGAGACACAACTAGAGCCACTATAGGTCGAACGGACTTAGACTATAACCCAAAAGGTACAATAAGATCAAGAGGGCGACTTAATATAAAATAATTCTTCAGGACTTTAAAAGCACTCACGAGCAAAATAGTCAATCAAATAGCGCAACAAAGAAACAAATAACCAAAATGGTAGAAAAGCTGAATAATGACGATTGATCATAATGCTTTGATATTAGAACCCAACTCTAAAGAATGTATACATATATACTGCCATTACTCGCTGACAAGTATTCGAGTTCACACACAACAGAAGATGGTCACGCAAGGCGTTTCCTTTCCTGAGCTTTTCTGTGACTGAAAAGCCCGATACGTGATATTATCTGCCTACCGCACTCCGAGCATTCAAAAATCTCATTGCTTTGTTGCCTCTTTACTTTTTGGTTGTCGCTGTTAACTGAGTTTACAATTCTTCTCCATTGAGTGATCTTCTCTATCGTGAGCTGCTTCTTCCCACTCATTCTGCATGTCAATTCCCTTTAAGTTTTCGTGGAAAATGTCGTGGTACCTTTTCAGTCGTACACCCGGCCTCCTCTTACCGTCTACAAGCTCACCGTAAAGCAGAGATTTTGGTATGCGGTTTTCCTGCATTCTGGATACGTGACCAGGCCATCTTAAGTGGGATTTTGTAACCATGATTCGAATACTCTATTTCTAAAGAATGTAATCACTATTGCACGGAATGCAATTTGTACTTTTTGCATTTTATTGCATTTTTTGTTCGTTTTAGAAGAAATTGCATTTTTTGTCAATCAAGACAGCAGGTTTTGCATTTTTTCCCAAAAATTTTATTATAGGTAGGGCCATCGAGGTAAATGAAAACGATTTTTGCAAACTTTATTTTAAAATTATCTAGATAAGGTATAAAAGAAAATTATTTTTCCTATGGATGGCGGTTCTTTCTCAGCTTGGTATGTACAAATATGCATAAAAAAACATGACAATTTTTGCTGATGTAGAAATAAGGATTGTTTTAATGTGTTTCCATTTACCCCATGAATATGTTCATTTACCCATCACATTGATTAGGGTAAATAAAAACAACTTGGTTTTCGCTATGAATAGTAACTGAGGTGACCATGAGGTAAATGAATATTAATAAGCTCATGAATGGGGAACTTCGCTTTTTAGTAACTCAGATATTTTAATATTTCTGAAAGCAGTATTTTTTTATTGGTAAAATGCAAAAAATCGTGAGATCCTGCACACATATCGTGAGATCGAGAGATTTAGTATAAATTTGACACCCCTATACTGACTTGAGGTAAAAGGAAACATATTTTCCTTTACTCCGAACATGCGTTTCCATTTTACTCAACGCGGTGTATGCACGAAGTAAATGAAAACAAGTCTGAGTTATCATCCAATCAATATTATCAACTTAGCCTGAAAATCAAAGTGTCAACAGATCCTTTGGTTACCATAATTCAACTTAAGATTGACATCATCAAAATATTTTCTAATGGAAAAAACAATCTTTGTTTAAAAATAATCTGTAAACCTAACTTCTGACAAGTAGTTTCCGGTTAGTATTAACGCAGAAGTGTTTACAAAAAAAAATATTTTATTTTGTAGATTTTCTTGCGGTGGCGAAATAGCCATATAGGATTTTTTTGAGAGAATCTTTGTTTGATGTAAAACCTCTGACGAGGGGTAGGGAACTCAAGAAACTTACAATCTTTTAGGATGTTTATTTCAAAATTTAATTTGATTTAAAATTGAGGCGACATGTTTCGGGATTTATTTAATTCCCATCTTTCTGAATCCCGAAACATGTCGCCCCAATTTTACAGAAAATTAAATTTTGAAATAAACATCCTAAAAGATTGTGAGTTTCTTGAGTCCCCTACCCCTCGTCAGAGGTTTTACATTGATATGTACTCACATTGGGTTGGTAATGCAGATAAATAATTGTAGTTGCATGCTAGATAAATTTGATTGTAGTAAATAATTTAAATCAACCTACATTCGCTTTAACCATTCACCGCTATGACACAACATATGACACAATATAAATTTTAGCAACAGGGTTTCCAATGCTACCACCAGACCATATACAATTTAAAAGCGTGATATTTGAATAGATAATTTGAGGTGTTTTTATTTACCCCTAGTTTCCCTTTACCTCGATTGACACTAGGTATTAATTGGTACAGTTTCTTTACGTATTGGTAAATAATCTGTTATAACTGGGCTCTGAAAAAACCCAGAATGATTGAAATTGTCATAATTTGTGAAATAAATAATAAAGCCTGACTGTCTGATGACAGCTAAACTGACAAAAGACAAAGTCCTTCTAGAAAACTTTAAACACACTTAGTAATTAATTGTTTTCATAATTACTGTAAGACATGATTTATTTTAATATACTGTTTGCATAGGTTTGTTAATCACATTACTTAAATATTTTTAATCAATTATGTATAATCTTATAAAATAAATGAAAAAAATTGTATTTTCTAAAAACTTTTTATTGTTTTATTCTTGTCAAATTAACTTAATTTTTATAAAAATTCCTATGTAAAAAACGTAAAAATTAGAAAAACACAATAATATCCAAAATAATAGACGACTAATTACATATTTTTTGACAAATTTTGATGCATTTAAGTGGGCATATTATTGTCTCTTCATTTGATATTTATCTTTGCCATAGTACTTACATATTAAAACATTCACACAGAAGAACAAAATTAATTACACTTGCTCACTTTACATACACGTCGTGTTATATTAAGAATGGTTTTTAACTGGAAATAATTCAACAAGCAAACAACGCAGAAGGTAACCTTTTTAGTTCCGCAGCGAAAATAACTGGGTGGTATAAAGAATTCATTTATTTCTTTCCTTTGTTATCTGGAACGGACCTAGTAGCCCATTAAAATACTACTGCCCAAGTTCATTTGTTCTTTGAACATGCCACGATTATAAATTAGGCGCCATTTACATAAAATCACATATTCAAGCGCATTGTTTTGGTTTTCAGTCGCAAATGTTTAGCCGGATTTGTTTCGTGAACTTGAACTTTTTTTGTAGGCGCCTTTAGATTTCAATTCTAAATCGCCATAATAAATGTGAATGGAGACATTAAATGAAAGAGACACGTTAATAGAGCTTTTGTAGATTATCTGAAAATCATTATAGATAATCTACACAGAATGTTTAAAAATAAACAATTTAAAACATACAAAAGAACAACATCAAAAAAAGAACCCTGGTATTTAATAAAATATGTACTATATGGGAATACATTTTCATAAATAATAAATTACGCTAAAAAAACGTCTCTAAATTCTTCTCAAACAATATTGCTACCAGTATAACTAGATCATGTTTCTATTTTTATACAGGGTGGTCCGAACTGTATTCCGGAATTTTCGGCAGCATATTCTGCAGATAAAAGTAAGTAAAAAAGTTCGTATAAATATATGTCCTCAAATGGTTAGTTTCGGAGATACAGGGTCTAGAAATTTAATTTTTATTTCGATTTTTTTTCAAATAATTTCTGAAGTAGCGTCATTATTGGGATGAAAATCGGTGTTTCGGAGTTTTTTGATATGAGAAATTTGATTTTAATGTCAATATGACTTCTATTTGTAGGGGGCGCTACCTACATGTGTTTTAACTGTTTTGAAGAGTAATAACTTTTTGTCCGTACTGGTATAAAACTACTGAGTGAAAAAATATCCATTTCCGTGATTTTTTACTTAAAAAAAGTATCTTGGTAAAAATCGTTAGGAGCAACCGTTCTCAAGATATTTAGAATGGAAAGTCAATACATGTCATTATTTAGAATAAATAAACATGTTGAGTAGATATGTAGTTATTTGACTAAAATGATAAATTTGGGAACTTTTAATTTTCCTAAATTAATCATAAATTTTTCCTCGAAAAATGATG